AGCCAGATTCGCTTAACATCCAAGTTACCAGCTTATCACCTGCAGAGATCCACTTAGCAACTCTGGCAAGAAAGGTCGTAAAATAGGGCAAAATTCACCTAACAAATGTCTTGCTTCGGAACATGAACTTGGGCTCGTTTGGGGTCGTAACTCGAGGCACCCACCTGTACTTAAAATACCAGATTTTCATCAGACCAGGAAAGGATAACCCATCACGATGTGGGCGGTCCATGGTCAAAATAATTCAGGCCTTGGTTGCAGAGCCCTCCCTCTCCCATTAGCCCAGGGTTTATATTCATGCATTCTCCTTCAACTAGGTATGGTTTCTTCCCTATATATCAGGGGTCCCCAAACTTGGCAAATTTAAGACTTGTGGACTTCAACTGCCAGAGAAGCAGGAGAATTCTCTGGGAATTGTAGTCCACAAGTCTTAAAGTTGCCAAGTTTGGGGACCCCCTGATATATACTGTAAGAAACAGGGGGGAAAGATCCATCTCATCCTGGGCACCCACTTTTTGAACTATTACAATCTGGCAGACGGTACAGGATAATAAAAACAAGGGCAGATAGGCTGAAAAACAGCTTCTATCCCAGGGCAGTAACTCTGTTGAATTCTACTGCATTGTGCAATATTAATGCAATATCAGGGGCTTTCAATTCAATTGTATAGAATGCGAAGGATGTGTGTTTGTGTTTTATTTTTACAGTTATAATGTACACCCTCACATCCTGGACACAAACTGTTTCCAATCCTACCCTCAAGACGACGCTATAGAGCACTGCACACCAGAACAACTAGACACAAGGACAGTTTTTTCCCTACATGCCATCACTCTGCAAAACAAATAATTCCCACAACACTGTCCAACTATTTACTAAGTCTGCATTGCTATTACTATTAATCTTCTCATCACTCATCCCCTCCCACTTGTGATTGTATGACTGTAACCTTGTTTCTTATATCCTAATGATTTTTATTGACTGTTTCCTAGTATGATTCGATTGCTTATAGAATAGAATAGAATTCTTTATTGGCCAAGTCTGATTGGACATACAAGGAATTTGTCTTGGTGCAAATGCTCTCAGTGTACATAAAAAGAAAAGATACATTCGTCAAGAATCATAAGGTACGACACTTAATGATAGTCATAGGGTACAATCAGCAATCAAATCATACTAGGAAACAGTCAATGTAAATCGTAAGGATACAAGCGACAAAGTTACAGTCATACAGTCACAAGTGGGAGGGGATGGATGATAAGGAGTGATGAGAATATTAATAGTAATAGTAGTACAGACTTTGTAAATAGTTGGACAGTGTTGTTCCCTATGACTACCATTAAGTATTGTACCTGATGATTCTTGACTCTTGACGAATGTATCTTTTCTTTTTATGTACACTGAGAGCATTTGCACCAAGACAAATTCCTTGTGTGTCCAATCACACTTGGCCAATAAAGAATTTATTCTACACTGAAGATGGCATTTAATTTCGTTGTACGAGGTGCAATGACAATAAAGTACACTAAACTAAACTAAACCACCACCCGATTTCCCAGGAATTTACATTTCTTTCCAAGTTCTCCCACCTCTGAGATAAGACAGTTGCAGCCTTTTTACTGCAAGATAATTTGCCCCCACATGTATTAGCAGGTAGGGATAATTGTTGTTGGACACGGAGAATGCTGGAAGCTGCACGTCCCCATCCCTAATCTTTGCCCCTAGTGCACTGGGGTGTGGTAAGCACCTACTTATTTTGCTTCCTCGTAGCTTTGAGTCACCAGCCATCACAACGCTTCTCTTGTCTGCTTGCAGGGTTCGGTTGCACCCCGCCTTCCCTTTAGGGATCCAGCATCGTGCTGGCTGCAAGCACAGCATCTCCTACACCTCTTCTAAAAGGTGGGTTGATTCTTGTGCTCCTGAAAAGCTGATAAAGCTTCGTCCTCCCTCAGCACACCTGCCTGTCAAAAGGACCCATTTCCCTAAATCTTTCGGGTAGGTAGCAAAGATGGACCTCTTCAAGGCAACACGGGGGGACGAACGTTGTCAGTGTTGTTATTTTGCTATTAGATCTGTTGAGTTATGTTAATGTTCAGTCATTTCTTGTAACAGTCTTTGGGTGTTTTGGTTGAGTTATCTATAACAAGGGTCTCCAACCTTGGCCACTTTAAGACTTATGGACTTCAACTCCCAGAAATCTGGGAGTTGAAGTCCACAAGTTTTAAAGTGGCCAAGGTTGGAAACCCCTGATCTATAACAATTTGCTACTATCAAGCCCAAAACCTAGAATGCCACATGTTGATTCTTCCGAGCTGAATTCTTGATTGTCTCACACCTATAGACAAAACATTACCAGATTTGAGGGCTCTGCTAGCTGCATCTGCCATATGCTCTTAGGGAGGGGCTGTCCTCACCCTCTTACTCCCACTTGTAACATCCAGGGCTAAGTTGCCTCTTACTCTTCTGTAACAGCCCCCTCCTCTCCTGGTCGATCCAGCTCCTTAGTGGCATTCAATCACATTCGGCTGATGTTTTCGCTACTGGCATTAGACCAATGTCTTCACTAGATTTTCAGAGGCATAAAAATGAAATAAACAGATCCACACATCCACGACAGGACGATTGTCGCCTCCAGAAAAGTGGGTGGGGGGAAGATATCCCGAAGAAGATTTGCCACTGACCCCTGCTGCCAGATTTCTTGAGTGGGGGGGGGGGGGAAACCTTGGACACAACCCCTCTGCTGGATTTTACCAGATGAGTGGACTTGGAATGGGTGGTCTTCACTGCCAGCTCCCTCCCTCCCAGGTCCACGGGGCTTCTTCCGTCATCAACCCCTATTGCAAACCGACTGCAGTATCTGCACTCCTATCTCCAAAACTACATGTGTCCCCGCGGTCAGCGTAACAATCCGTTAGACACAGATCCATAGATACCTTAAATAATCAAGGGGGGCTTCGCACAAGCTGCTTCCTGGCTCACTATTGTCTCCCTGCTAGGCAGCACTTTCAGCAGTCAGCCTGCAACCCCTTCCTTGTGCTTACCTGTTCCAGAAGGTGAGCCTTTTTACTACTCCAACCCCAGGACTCTGTGTGGCGCGACTATCGTTCACCTCTTCCAAAACAACAACACCCACCCACCCCCAGGGACAAACCTGCACTTTCTGCCTGCCAACATAATGTGACAATGGACTCTCAACGTTGGTCATCTCCTTCCCTGTCGTTGCTTTTAGCCTTTCAATCAGAGTTTTGCCAAATTATTCTCTAGGCACGCTGAAAACCATCAAGCCCCCTGAACAGTCCTCTCTTGCTCACTTTGCGTAGGGGAACGCTTTTCCAAACATGAGGGCAGAGGTCATCCTAACGAATTTAAATAACTCAAATTGCCCCATAAACGTTTTTCACCCCGCTGTATTCGCAGCCTTGCACCTTTCCATACTTCCAAGAAATTTATTGCTCAGGCACCTTTCCAGAATTTATTTCAGATTCACGATTTGATGAATCTTATAATTCCTATGCACATCTCTGAAATACTCCATGCAACAGTTCCTCACTTGTGTTTCTTCCCAAATCATTTCATCCCTTTTATTCTCAATTCCATTTATTCCGGGGAAGGATTCCCGTGTAACCCTCTTCGCTCACTCCCAAAACTTTTTAAAATCCTCATAAAAATAAAAAAAACACCACTCCTTTACACACCTACACACTTTCTCACACTGGTGCGTTTCCATCAGAATGCCCGTTGCATCATTCAGTTCACATGGGAGCTGTCTGGAATTTGGGAAACTAGCAGTTGCTGTGCCTTCCTTAAAGTTGTTACTATGGATCCCCTTCCAGAGGCTACCAAAGCTGAATTCATCCCAAGGGAAATCTCCTTTTCTGATCCAGTTTGGGTGAGGCTTATGTACTCCATCTTTCCGATAAGTTCATTCTCACAAACTGATGAAACAGATTGTAACCACGTAGCATCACAAAATACCAAAGTATTGTGCATTATGTAATGCAAGTATCATGGTAACCAGCTCAATGAAAGGTTTTAATCCAGACATGCTCATTCTACTCTATGCAAGCCAAGATCTCCAACCTTGAAAACCAACCTACTATTGCCACAGCTCAACACCTAGAAGCTGCCTTTGTAAGGTGTTTAGACACTTGAGTACGTGTTCAAAAGCATTAAGAGTATTACTAAAACACCTTTTCCTTCGACATTCCTTTAAAAAAAAAACCTACACATTCCTGATTAAAAATCACAAAACTTGCAGAAACAGAGGGGCAATTCTACTCCAACCTTGGTCAGAGAACATTCCTCAGAACCCCACTCCCTACCAACACTGGTGACGTTACCAAGTTTGGGTAATGAGATGTCTGCAAGAAAACAACCAGGCACCAAGGCCCTCTTGCTCCGAACATCTTCAGCCTCCTTTTGTAGATTTGGCAACCTGTTCCACTGTGTGACGGCTCACACAGAGCTGGGAAGATCCTCCTGAGGTAGACCCTGGGGCCGTGTTCACCCCCTGATCCTGGTCCTAGCCTTTAGGAAAACTGAGAAGGAGAAGTCGGCCCCACTCTGGGTATTTGAAGACTGCTGTCGTATCTCCTTTCAGTCATCCCTTCTACAGGCCAAGCAAACGCAGATCTTCTGACTGTTCCTCACAGGGTTTGGTTCTTGGCAGCCACAGCAATCATAAAATACCAACAGTAAGTTATTAACGTTAAAATTAAATTAAAACCACACCTCCCACACTGACGACATCACAATTCCCCCCCAAAGCCCTGAGATTACTCAGCCTGAGCTCTTCTTGGGTCCATCTCAGAGCTACGGAGCCTGCAGAGAAGGACAGTGCCAGTGAACTGATCCAGAGGCCAAGCAGAACACAGAACGGCCCCACTCGTCATAAACAATCCCCGTAGGTTAAAAAAAAAAAAAAAAGGCAGAGCCGTATTATAAGCCATCCTTGCATGCAGATGTTTCTCTGGTGCCAGGCGGTGGGTGGGTGGTCTTACCTGGCTTCCCTGGGACCTCCACCACAGGGGGGAATCTGTGATGGGGGCTTTGCGTGGCGACGTTCCCCGCGCTGCCTGAATCCTTGGTGGGCTGGCTTGTGGTCAGCTGCTCTGGCATCACCGCATTGGGATCTAAGAGCCAAAAGGGAAAAGTCAAGGTGAAAAAGAGAGTCCCGTCTCGGGGGAAGGGGGCCCCGGGGGGCTCAGGTGGGGCACCGGACTGTCTTAGGCCATAATCAGTTTGGCAACAGCCAAGGAAAGTGCCAGCGTTTTGCCAGAAGCAGGAGCTGAGACGAGAGACTATTTGCAGGAAATATATCAGACAGGCAGGTGCTGACGGAACCAGTGGAAATCCCATTAATCACCCCTTCGGTTCAGACTGCCCCCCCCCACTGTTCCATACAAGCTGTCCTCTTTAAGATTCATTCATTCCTTTCCTTTCCTTTCCTTTCCTTTCCTTTCCTTTCCTTCCATCCCTCCCCATCCATCTCCTTCCTTCCTTCTCTCCTTCTTCCCTTCCTTCCTTTCTTCTTTCCTCCTTCTCGGATCACCCTTCCCCATTAAACACCAGCCTCTGTCTCAGAGGACCAATCACAGCACTCTGTTCAGCGGCTAAACCCTGCATTTAGACAAAAGAAATAGCTAAAATGAGGACCAAGAAAGTTTGCTTTCTGTTCAGCTATGGAGCTGCTCACGTGTATTTCCAATTCTGCAATCAAATTGAAAACAATGCAACGTTGTATGTCATGTCACATGCTGCTCCTCTTCCGTGGTTCTTCTGAAGTCAGGAAAAAGGGAAGGGTGGAGATATTGGCAGATTATGGGAAGCTCCCAAGATCATGGAGGACTTGCCTGTGGCCACCAGTCAGCTGTTTTGCCCCCTTTCCTATCAGGAACCAACAGACTGCTCCATCCAAAGCTAGAATTAAGCTTCATAATAGTTGTTTACTTCCATTGGTTCAGTGGTTGTTCAAAGTTAAGGAGGCACTGGAAGAAATGGACTTGCAACTGGTCCTCAAAGTTCTGACTCTTGCAGTATCCCCATGGCCACGTGACCACGAACCAGACACTTGGAGGCTCAGCTCACGATTATGACATGACCTGCTGGTCCCTTCAGTGCCACGGGGATTTTTAAGAAAAACCCTCTTTCCATTGGCCTGCACTGTCCAAGTGTTCGCTTTAATGTGTGGTTAGAATGAAGGTGTTTTATCCTCCAGCAAGTCATTAGGAACTGGCCAGGAAGAGAAAATTCCTAGGTGTTTTCCTGGGATCACAGAGTTACATTCTCAACAACTCTCTGGAAATCGAGTCACGGTTCCATAACTTCACAAGTCGCCACTTTACAGACTGTTGGCAAAGACAAAAGTTTTCCAAACTGCCAGGTTTTGATATTGAAACTTGCAGTTGATTTATCCACCAGTATTTTATAATGCACATAAATTGATTCCGTTTTTCATTGACCACACGTACAGCTGATGGGAAGCACACAGTAATACGCTTCCTAGAGAGGCAAGCTTGCATATGAAGTCATTGCAATAATGCTGGGCTGTGGTTGCACTCATCCCCAAAGCATGTCACACCCAACTCATGCGCCCTTACTTCATTAACAAGGAATGTGGCATGCAGCTCAAGGCAACCCTGTTTCCCTACTAAAGAGCATCAAGTGACATCATTGACTGACCAAGGCCATGGCAAGGGGCAAAAGGTTTGTCTGCACAGGCCCACCTACTCATCACAACTCCCACAAGTAGAAGATTGCAACTTGGATGACGAGTACAGGAATTAACAAGTGAAATGAAAGGAGAAAATATATTCTCTCTCTCTGTCTCTGAAAGTAAGATAAAGGGAAAAGGCAAAACAGATCCAAGTGATGGTGTCTGAAGCAGAGAGGATGGGGGAACTTGGGGCCATGAAGGCACAATATCAATTATACACGAGTGATCCACAATATGTACCAGAAAAATATGAATCACCGTCATGTAACGTATTACAAGGGCATCCTGAAGAAGGAACCCATCGGTTGATGGATGTGGCACCCTGGGCTCCTAGATCCCTAGGAGTGATAGCCCTTCAAGTCCTGAAAGGAAGTTGTCATGCCCGCCCCTAATCCTTCTCTTGGACAGGCTAGGCCTATCTAGTTCCCTCAACCATTCATCATACAGTTTGGTCTCCAGACCCTTTATCGTCTTTGTTCTTCGCACTTTGTAGGCTCTCACCATCTTTTGTTCTCAACTGTGATCAGAACAGTTCGTCCAAGTGTGGCCTCTCTAGTGCAGTATAAAGCGGTATTATAACTTCTCGTGATCTTGATAATCTCCCCTCTGTGGATGCGGGCTAGGACTGCATTGGCTCTTTTGGCAGCTGTAGGACACTTGTGGCTCATACTTAAGTAATGGTCAACTAGGACATCTAGAGATGTCTTTCACAGTTGCTGCTGTTGAGCCAGGTAGCCCCTATTCTGTATCTGCATGCTTGGTTTTGCTTGCCTAAGTTTTTCTTGTCACTGATTAATGGCGATTAGAATTGCTCTGAGTTTCCGTGTAGAAGTCTGTTTCAAGTAAAAAGGTTGAACTGAACAGACTGTCCATAAGTCCAGGTAGCAAAGGAACGCATATAAGCCCAAATACAGAGCTTGCAAGGGAAGACTTGAGCGGACAAGGGAAACAAACCCATGATAGGTTCCAAATCTGGGACAAACCACTGTTTGGGGATGCCGGGGGCAGAAAAGGCGTATGAAGGGAAAGGAAAGAAGGGAAAGAGACTGCAGTAAAACAGGGTGAACTAGTAATATTCGCCACTTGAGGATGAAAAGGGGCCATGATGGAAAAGGACGTCCAGGTTGCCCAGCGCAGAGAGAAAAGAACTTGGTGATAGCAAAGAAATGTGAAAAAGGAGTTCAATGAAGCGATGAATGAAAAATGCTGTGGAGGAGAGAAAGTTATAGGAAGTGAAGACAGTCGAAAAGAATATAGTCAAGGAGAGGATGGAATGTTTAGGATCAAAAGTGCAACGGAAAATGCAGACCCATTTTGAAGGAAATTGTAAATTGTCTGCAGAGTAAATAAAGGTAGTAAAAATCTCTCTGATAACACAGGGAGAGCCTTCGAAGTCTGTTCTGGCCATAATCTGCCTCACTTAAAGCAACCAGATCATTTTGAAGATACAATATAATTTTATTAACATGCCGCCAATAAGCCACATAGGCGATCCTAGATTTACAATTGTAATTGAGTCTGGAATTTAGCTGTAAGTCATGCCAGTCGTTAATTGGGTCATCGCATGACTGGTCCAATTTTAGGATATTTCTTTGCGGCAGTCTTTAAGCAAATCACCCTCGTGTTAAGCAAACCCACAGTCATTAAGCAAACCCATTTGTCCGCAATGTGCCTCTTAGCCAGAAAACTGAAGGATGTGCTCATTTCCAGCAAAAAATGTCATAAACTGTGGTCATTTAGACCCTGGATGGCCTTAAATGCGGATCCAAGCATCAAAATGTGATCTCATGACCCGAGGGGGATGTTAAAAGCCAAAGTTGAAGTGCCTTTGACCTACAGCACCGAAAAGACAAGAGAAAAGGGCAGCAGAGGAAGTCAAAACTAACAGAAAACGAGCAAACTTCCACGGCCAGATTTCGAATCCAAGTAGTAAAATCCATCCAGACGGCTCCCCTGGCTGCTTTGCCAAGAGAACAGCCGGCTCGTGGGTCAAAAGCTAGCATGACGAGACAGGTTTCCACGTTTGATCTCAAAGAACAAATCCAGGGCTGAGCGCACCGGCTGCCTGGCGTGAAGCCCGAAGGATCCTTCAGCAAGAGAGAGAGGAGAGCATCGCAGGGGGGACAAAAGAGGGGCTGAGAGGCCAACCTTTGCTTCTGTGCCCGGAGCGGGGCTGCTTTTTAGTGCCATTGCCAGGTTAGGGACAAAACAAACCCCTCTTTCTAGTCCTTGAAAGATGCCAGGAGACAGGATCAATCCCAGTTTAACTGGATGCCCATTTGGAGGCTGTCTGAAGAGATGCAACCGTTCAAATAATCCAGATATTATCCTAGTTTAACATGCAACTTATGCTTAAAGACAATCCTGACGTGTTCGTAAGAGAGTAAATCAGGGCCCTGTGTAGCCAATCAACCAGGAAGGAGGTCAACGTGCCAAAAATATCTGCTTCATAAAAGCTCGTGACGATTGAAGTGGTGTCAGGCAAACTGGAAGACATCCCTACCTATAAGAGCAATTCAGTGCTGGTGTTCCTCCTTCAAACCAGTGAGACTTTTGAGTTCTCCCACTGATCCATTTTAGTAAAAATGCTAGGCTTCGGATGTCATTCCAGATGGTCACTGAACAGCGGGAGAAGAAAAGGGATCGCTTTAAAAATCTGAAATCATGAGCCACCTTAATGACTTCTGGACTTCAACAGCCACAGTTCCCCACTCCCACTTTAAATAAACTAAGTCGTATAAATAAGGGCTTCCTGCGTTTATCAGTGATTTGAATCCCTGCAGTCAAGGTTAGCATGATGTGAAGAACAAGGAGGGAACAAAAGACGTGCCTTTTATTTTTATCAAATTTATTTTAATAAAATGCTTTTGGAATAAAAATCTATCTAAAGGTCGTTTTCTATTTAAGGTACGTTAATAATTTAGTTTATTCAGCACGAAACAGGGCTTAGTTGTATAGCACGAGGCTGTATATTCTGCAATATTGGGACTGTCGGTGAGTCAACAGCAGGTCAGAGGAGGAGCCGCTGCAGAGCAGAGATGAGAGTTGTGGTTTAAAAATTATGATTTAAATCAACTTGATTTAAATAGCAACAGCACTTAGACTTATATACTGCTTCACGGTGCTTTTACAGCCCTCTCTAAGCAGTTTACAGAGTCAGCCTCTTGCCCCCAACAATCCGGGTCCTCATTTTACTGACCGCAAAACGGACGGAAGTCTGAGTCAACCTTGAACCTGGTGAGATTCGAACTGCCAAATTGCAGGCAGCCGGCAGGCAGCAGAAGTAGCCCTGCAGTACTGCACTCTAACCGCTGCACCACCGAGGCTCAGATCAAATCCACCCTGCTCTGCAGACAACGCTTTGGGCAAATACAGGCATTACTAGTCATGACTATTACTAGTCAATTTGCAGATTAA